TGACTCCTGCAGCTCGTAGGATTCGAACCCAGGACCATCAGACTTACGCGCGAAGGTCTAATCTCATAACCACCGAGCCGGCGCATCCAATGCTGATGAGTCTCATACTAGGACGAAACGGCCGTCTTTCAATGCTTCCAGTTTTCTAATGGTGGTCTAATAGTGATTGATAAATGATTTCAAAGTGTAATAAATAGATCATGGAATTTCTTGGAGCAATAAGTCATTTTATCAATCGTTTCCTTGAACTTCATCTTTACAAAATTAAAAAATTCACTTCAAGGATATGGTTAACTGAATTCTCTTTAGCTAAACAACTAATCACGTTATCAAAATAACTTAACTTTCAAGCCCAGCTATAATTTTGGAAAAATTCATATCAGTGGTACATAGGTATGGCAGTTGTCTGAAGATACTTACTTGCTTCTAGAATAAATTCTCGGAGTTCTAGTGCGAAGACTTGAACACTGTAGTTTACTCATATCAGGCGAGAGGTAGTAACTCATTAAAGACTATGAATGATGGTCGCGTGATAGCTTAGATCAATTAACGTTAGATATTAACATTGTTGGATATTGGGTCAGTGGTCTAGAAGTTAAGCGTTCCCACATGAGATTGAATGTCCTAGGCTCAACTTTTGCTTGTGCGGATGTGCACTGCTGAGAAGTCATTTACTAGAGAGAATAAGTTGTCCAAAGCTTCCAGGTTTCCAGTGGTGGTCTAATATATTGATCGATTCGTGATTTCAATGAAATTAAACAATCTCCATAACCGTATACTGATTATGTATGCACTGTCAAAGAATCCTATACTTTGTTCAATATTCATTGGTTTTCAAAAGTTTCATTTCAGCAATATGTCACAAATTACACACACATACACTTTTCACCTTCATTCTTGATGGAGATGCCTTGGAAGACGTTAACACCTTTATATATCTTGGCAGCATCATCGACGACAATCAAGGTGGATCCGATGCAGATGTGAGGGTGCGGATTGGCAAAGCAAGGCCTGCATTTCTACAGTTGAAAAATATCTGGAACTCCAAATAACTTTCAACAAAAACTAAAATCAGGATTTTCAATACAAATGTGAAGACAGTTCTACTGTATGGAACGGAAACTTGGAGAACTATCAAACCCATCATCCAGAAGATACAAGTGTTTATTAACAGCTGTCTACGCAGACACGATCAGCAACAACGTACTGTGGGAAAAATAACAAACCAGATTCCTTCAGTGGAGGAGGAAATCAGGAAGAAGCGGTGGAAGTGGATAGGACACACACTACGAAAAGCACCTAACTGCGTCACAAGACGAACCCTCACATAGAACCCTCAAGGCAAAAGGAAAGGAGGAAGACCAACGAACACATTACACCGAGAAATAGAGAAAGACAATGAGAGGAATGAACAAACATTGGACAGAACTAGAGAGGGAAGCCCAGGACAGACAGAGTTGGTTGGAGAAAACTGGTGGTCGGCCTATGCTCGATTGGGAGGGTAACAGGCGTAAGTAAGTAAGTAAGTTTTCACCTTCATAAAACTAATTTCAATTAAAAATCAAGAATGTATATATACATAAATCTATTTTTCTAAAACCTAGCAAATATATATACAAGTTTATTCTAATTTATAATCATTGATCATTGAATTTGTGTAGGCTGTTTTAATGAACTAAGTAAAAATTAGTCTGTTAATAAATAAAAATGACTTAAGAAAAAAAACAAAAATTTACTGTTTATGTTTGAAATGAATGTTAAAATGTTAAAATTAAAAACGGTTACATGATCATTGAAATGTCATGAATTAGAAATTCAGAGTTGGAACTATAAACTTTGCAGAAACGCTTATAAATAAATAATTATATGTGTATATATATATATATATTTACATAGTGATGGTCGATTCTTCCTGCGAGTAGTCAGTCAGTCAGTCAGATGCAATGTAGAACTTCGTACGTAAGTAAATCAGTTCATGTTGCCATAACACATCAGCAGAGAGATGTAATTGTCAATTCAAATCCAACCTATTCCTACACTACAAAACAAAGCTCTTCGAGGCAGTCGGTGGTTAGTCATAAGCAGCACATCTCCCATCCACCTCCTGTGAGTAGTACTAGATGGCAATTTCGTCCTGGCACTCAACAGCAGAGTGTGTGTCGACGACTCACGATCGTCGCCGGAATCGAATCGACTTTTGGTGTTGCGTGCGAACGCTTAACCTATAGACCATTGAGCCGACATCCAACAGTGTTGGTATCTATCTTCTGAGAGAGGAATGCTTCACATTCGAATAGGGTTAAACTCCACTAGTCAGTGGTTGTTGTATACTTTTAAAAAAAAGGAAATTTTCGAGAACAGCACTCTTCATTCAATCATTCGTTTGCGTTTTGAATGTACTAACGCTGTAGTGAAGGAGAACACAGGTGAGGGCAACGGAATTGTATTTAACGAAAATTACAGAGTTACTCAGTAAAATAGGAAAACCATATCGTAAATCGTTAATTCGCAAATCTTCAATCCATCATCAATCCACTGCCTGACATTTCACTTATTCATGCGTTTCATACAAATCTAATTGTGTTCCCGCTCTTCCTTTCTTGATCTTCCCTCATCTTCTGCTGCCAGACATTACGTTGACACTCACGTCATATACTACTTATAAGTAGCGCGCACCACAACGCGTAGATTCCGTTTAAAAATTCATTATATATCAATCAGGTATGATAAATAAGGCGAATATCAATATGGCGTTAAATTCTTTAAAAGATATTGATTATTGAATATTGTTTGAATCGATAATAACATTGATTTACTGAGTTAACATAATTAAATTTTATCAATGTATTTTAATGGTAAATTTTTAAATGCTATTCAAAATTTGAAAAGCATCATTTCTACACCCTATTTATATCAATGCTTGGAATGTATTGATACTCAGTAACGGCAAAATTTAGTTGTCTATGCAGGATGATCAGGATATGTTGACTAGACACCGTCAGTAACAATTTACTGCGTCACAGATCAAACCGTGTTCCAACTTAAGAAACAATCAATGGAGATGGGTAGAACACATTGTAGCCCTCAATAGGAACCCTCAAGGCCGAAGGAAAAGAAGTAGAGCAAAGAGCGCATTGTAAGCATAAATCAACAGAATGAATCGAACTTTGGAATAACTGGAATGGAGAGCGAAGTACAAAGTTGACTGGAGAATGTTGTTTGGCTAACTATGCTCCGATGGTGGTACCAAGCGTAAGTAAGTAAATAAGTATTCACCACGTTCATGAAGAAAATTATTCTCTATTTTGATAAAAAATATTAACACTTACTATAGACAAAATGTTACGCTCGTCACTAGGTACGCTTGAAGCTATTACTGTGGTGTGAGCTACTTATAAGTAGTATATGACGTGGGTGTCAGCGTAATGTGTGGCAGCAGAAGAGAGTTAGAAAACAATGGAATTTGTATGAAACGCATGAATAGTAGTGACAGTGGATTGATGTTTTGCAACAGGAACAGTCCAGTTCGATATGATGAACTGTGATATTATGCAAATGAACGATTTACGATAAGGGTTTCCGATTTTACTGAGTAACTCTGTAATTTTCGTTAGATACAGTTCGGTTGCCCCATCTGTGTTCTCTTTCACTACATTACAAGTTCACCTTAGTCGAAAAACGCGAACGAGACAATGAACCAGCGTCCAGATAGGCTACCTTGAATCCCAAACTAAAGTAAGAAGGCTTTGTAAGCGTAGAAAGTATATTCTACAAACACCTAGCGATCATAGTACAACCAAGCATACAACTGCCGTTTATTTATAGATCGTAGAAACGTCCTTGGGACAGTCACAAAAATAGCACACTAAAATACACAGCAGCCAATCACAGCCATGGATTTTCCTGGTGGGAAATGTGTGATCTCAAGGTCAACTGATCAGTCCATACTGGCAAACGTGAAATCCAAAATTCAGGCATTTATGAAGCGAGTTCTGGAGATCTAACATCCCCAACACAAAACAGATCTGATATTAACTGAATGTATATTTTAGAAAATTCTTTATTGAAGTTATAGGTACGATTAAATAACTGGCCAAAATCTTCTTTTAACTGCGATACATTAAACGTTCAATGTTCACTTTGATTGTTAATTCTTGATAACAACTAGACAATTTGCTTTCCGCACATTCAAGTCATTAATCAATCAATGATTGTTAGTCCACCATTTAGGAAACCCACAATCACTGAAAGACGTCCATTTTGTCCTGGTATAGGAGACTCATCAGTTCCGCTGTGTATTCACAACTCCTGCTGTAGTGAACGAGAACATAGGTGGGGCAACCAAATTGTATTTAACGAAAACTACAGAGTTACTCAGTAAAATAGGAAAACCATATCGTAAATCGTTCATTTGCAAAATATCAGCTCATCATATCGAACTGGACTGTTCCTGTTGCAAACAACATCAACATCCATTGTCACTACTATTCATGCGTTTCATACAAATTCCATTGCGTTCCGAACTCTTCCTTTCTTGATCTTCCCCCCATCTTCTGCTGCCAGACATTACGTTGATACTAACGTCATATACTACTTATAAGTAGCTCGCACCACACTGCAACTGGAACCCAACACCTTCTAGTCTGGCGCGCGAACGTCGAAAACGACGAATATCACACACATACACACTGAGTTGATTTTTCTATCCTAATAAAATGAATAATATTGTTTTTTAAAAATTTAATACAACGATGATAATAATAATTGTTTCTTTGTACACTAATTCATCACACTGTGTCTTTGTCGTCCACTCTCTCATTTACTATTGGATCAAACCTTGTTCAATATGTATATACTTCGCTTAAACAAGGCACATTTGGTGCACCAATCAAACTAGAATATTAGCACACAGCTGATGTATAGTATATCCATATTTTTTTTCTCTGTTCATATTTTTCAATATATATAAACAACATTTTTACCGGTTCACATTTGGAAATCTTCACAGACATTGTGATTGTTGTATTTCAACAATTTTCCTTATTCACTAAAAAAGTTATCATGTTGATCATTTGAATGAACTGAGAGACAGAAAACACAAAATCAATATTAACATGATTTTACCTACAAGTTTATGCATCACAGTGTTATGCTGTATTATTATACATCAACCGAATTTTGTATCCACAACACAAAATCAATCCGTTTACTCGTATACATATACTACTCATTTACCATTAGTAGTATTCAATGATAATCAGCTATTCACTAATAACTATGTCAGCTTAAATTGCCCACTGATACATGCTCAACATGGAGATGTATTGATATTTTTCAAATCGAATGTACCGCTTCACCGGGTAATTTTAGATGAAACCAATTTAAAGTCGAATTATTTATTAAAATTATTCAACTTTGAAGCCAATGTTGATTATTGGTGTAAATTATACCGTGACAGAGAAAATCAGCTGAATATTATTACAGAAATTAGATTATTGCTTACACCTAACACCGGTAAGTGATTTTATGCCTTGTTTATTGTCGATGTAATAATTTAAGAAGTATTCGATTAGTTTTCTGAAATATTTTCCAGAAGGAGATGAAGTATTTTTTGTGACTGTTCTACGCGGAGTTAGTATTTCTGTGATAGTTTAATTTGCATTACAGGGTTGTGAATTGATCAAGTTAGACATTAATTAACATCGTTAGATAATGACCGGCTCAGTGGTCCGATGGTTAGGCGTTCGCCAGCACGATATCGAAGGTCCTGGGTTCGAATCCTGCGGGGTGCAGGAGTCGTGGATGCGCACTGTCACTGAGAAGTCTCATACTCGGACGAAACGGCCGTCCAGGTTTCTAATGGTGGTCTAACATTGATCGATTCATGGTTTCAAAAAAAAGATAGTTTAATTGTTGGCGGACTGAAATATCAGTAAGTTAGGAAGAGTTTTAATTCAATGGATTAGTGTAATTAACTTGTTCTTTGATGTATTTTTCATCAGTTATTTCAAATATTAGAATACATTGATAATGTAATCAAGCGTAACAGACATAAGAAAATTGTTTTGTTGAAATTATGACTCGATATTTGAAAACACTGGAAGGTCGTTTAGTCTTAGTATGGAATTCATCAGTAGCAGTGCTGATTGACGCACGACCTAGGAAGTGGGAATTCAGTCAAAAACCTTCGGTTTCGTGTGCGGACGTGTAACTTCTACACTGAGGAAATCAGCCACTTAAACTTTTGTTCGTTACAGACAGATAGAATTTGGCATCTAGTGGGATTCAGGATGAGCATTTCGGCCCATTTGGGACTCGTTCTTCTCATCAGAGTGGATGCGCATCATAGAGATGTTGTTCATTCTTGGACTTGAACCCAATATTGCTTTGCTTCAAACGCTATCACGTTACCCACCTGTTAAGCACATTCTATCTAATCAATATAGAAAAAGTTGTTTATTCTGAAAATTTCTCTGATGCTTGAAACGATACTATTATTCATTATAGAGTTATGAAGATCGTTATTTATTTCTGTAATTAAGATTCAAACATTGTTAGACTATCATTAGAAGAAACTTGGAAGCACTGAAAGACAGCTTGTCTCGTCCTGCTGTTGAGTCCCATACCAGGACGAAGTGGCCATCCAGTGGTTCCGAGTTTCTATCTATCTATCTACCTATCAGAGATAATAAAAACACATTTTCGTGACAATATGCAAAATTTCACATCGACAAAGAATTCACTTCAGTTTGAGCGAATCAAAGTCGGAATTGTCATGAAAATACATCCTCTATCATAGATTGAACTCTGGTTAAAACTGTAATTTGTATGACATCGGTAAAAAGAAGTTCATTTCATCCAGTATTTTGTGTACAGACAGACATTTCATGAGATGTAAGTAGATGAGGTTAGGTGAATAGTGTGAAATGGTGCCAGCTCACTTCGATGAAATGTAGCTTACTATTTTTAGTCAGAAAAAATTAAGCTTGAATGACATGAGATGAATTGCGTAAGGGGATGCGCACACACACACACTCAATGAATAACCTTTCAGATTGTAAGTGACAAGTTCAAAACTTGTATAAATCATGACTTGACGTGAATAAATGACTTGATCTATCCGTACCGTAATCTGGAAAAACTTATGTAGGCGTGACATTATACTATACACTTAAAAGTAGGATGCAACTAACTGACTGATCAGCTTTAGTCATCTATAAATTTTCTGTTTTGTGTAGTCAATAAAATTCTAACATGGCAGTTACAACACTAAGCTATTAGGTGCCAATTTTTTATGCTTCGAATATTTAGTATTCTGATGAAAGCTTCCAGATTTTGACTTCATTTGCATGTTTGCTCGTCAATACACAGTGAAGTGAAGTCCTTGGATAAAACATTTGTCCAATAATGTTTTGTTGTTGTTGCGCAATACTCTATCAATGTTGCACATTACATCTAGATTTAAACTACAATTTCGCAACCAACAAGGTACTCTCTTCAATTCATTTATATTCTTTTGTAAAAAAAACTCACAAACCTGTTTGTACTACTAATTCAAAGCATAGATTTTAATCTCTGATAAAATCACATTAATATTTATAAAATTTAATTAAAACAGTTTCATTATTTTAAAATTAAAAAAAAAAACAGGTTGAACATTTAATCAACAAAAAAACGTTTATAGATTTCAATTTCGTTTCATAAATCCCTTGTTTTTTTTCTGAACTCCATGTACATGTCTATTTATTAAGACAAATAAATGACCTTGTAAAGGAACCGAAAATTAATTCAGTTTTAATTGAAATTGACTACTTATAAAACCGGTTCGTTGTATTTTTTTTTGTTCTGTCTCACATTTAAAAGTACTAAAGTGTTTAAAACAAGAAATGTACTTTATAGTAACAGTAATATTAACAATAAAACAACTATTCACTTTATTTTCCCGATAGTATGATTTCAAATTTACCGTCAAATTTAAATGTTTATGTACTGAAGTCAGTGTTTCAATGTTGAAAATTCTTAGTCAAATGTTATTCCTGTTTTTTCCCTAAATATCTCTTGTCATAGTTCAACTTGTACGCGATGAATATATGTGTGATATAGTATAGTTGAAACATAAAATCACTTACTGTTGTTATAAGGTTGTGAAGATTGTCGAGTTTCATTCGGATAATGGGCGTGTGGTGTGATCTACTTATAAGTAGTATATGACGTGAGTGTCAACGTAATGTCTGGCAACAGAACATGGGGGAAGATCAAGAAAGGAAGAGTTAGAACACAAAGGAATTTGTATGAAATGCATGAATAGTGACAATGGATTGATGTCTTGCAACAGGAACAGTCCAGTTCGATATGATGAACTGATATATTTGCAAATGAACGATTTACGATATGGTTTTCCTATTTTACTGATTAACTCTGTAATTTTCGTTAAATACAATTCGGTTGCCCCACCTGTGTTCTCGTTCACTACAGGTGGATCAAGAGTATTAGAAAATCGGAAGCGCTAGTATGGGACTCATCGGTAGTGCTCCTCGCATGTGGGAGTCGAACCTAGGATGTACGGTCTCGTGTACGAACGCTGATGAATCCTGTACGAGGACCAATTACATAGTATATTTCAAATAAATAATGAACCAGTCATCACTATTAGAAACCTAGATGCTCTGGAAGGTTGTTTTGTCATAGTACGGGACTCATCAGTAGTGCTCCTCACAAGCAGAAGTGGAACCCAGGATCTTTTTGATCTCACTCACGGACTCTGATGAATCCTATACTTGAACGAACTTCACATAGTATATTTCAAACAAATTTCCGTTACATCCATAAAAATGATATTCAGTCAAACACTTCCGATGTGTTTACTTCTGTTATAGTCTTAAATATGTTTTTAATTGACACATTGTCATTGAGCTGGAATATCATAAAATGGCTTAAGTTTGAAAACGTGCAAGACTAAAGATCCACAGCTCAATAACTAGTGAAGTATCCCAATCCAGAGTGAAACAGTTTCTTATTTTTCAACGATATTCGAAATACGATCAACGTATCGTTTGAAATTAACGAAAATTCTATAGACTACTTGAAAAAATCAATTTCTTTCAATTCTATGCTATCTTCTTTTCAAATTCAACTTGATAGAGAAATAATCTATAACTGTCTTTACATGAAATTGACTGGAATTTCGAGAGGCTATCTTTTTTCGCGTACATGAACAATCTGTAAAGGTTATAATCTTATTTTCTAACCTGTACTAGTTACAATAATACGTTATTTAATGAATAAAACGAAGTGTGAATTTTGTCACTGTTACGACTGATGTTACACTAAACTACACTGGTAATAAACACTTATCATTAGAAGTAGTGTGTGAAATTGAAAATTCACATCTAGGCAAATGATATTTTCTCATTGAATTATGAATTTGTGAAAAATGAATAAATCTTAGAATTTTGTCCTGGTACGTGTGTGATTCATCAGACAGCATCATCCACGATTCCTGCTACTAGCAGGATTCGAACTGAAGATCTTCGGTCTTGCGCGTGAATGCTCAACCTCCAGTCTATTGAGTCGGCATCCACTGGTGTTAATGCCTAACCCTGATCAATCTGAGGTATTGTGAGGCAGCACCCATTAGCTTCGGTGGTTAACTAACTGCCTACACCCGAAAGGATTAAACTCCACTGGTCACGGTTTCTCACTGAAGGCGCTGGGTTCGATTTCTGCAGGTAGCAGTATTTGTAGATGCCTATTGCTGATGAGTCGCACATCAGGATAAAATGGCCTTCTTTTGCTTCCATGTTTCTTATAATGTTGGTCTAACGATGATTCAATCACGATTCAATATAAAACAATGATCTCCATAATTCTATGTTGAAAATAATTACATAAAGAAATAGATTTCCACACTAACATCTTCATCAAACAACAGCTTCATTTTCATTCATTCAAGGGAACTACTTATTTGAATAACTACTATCTGACACTTATTCACAACTGGTTTTATTACTGATGATTTTCAACTATATGGAAAAGTTGAAATGGAAACTACAAAATAGAATCATCCTGTGAGTTGATTTACATTTCAAATTCAAGAAATCAAATTCTCATTGGTTCGATCTAGGTATAAAACTCTAAATACAGTAAATTCATCCGGTTTCCCATCTGATATCAATCAATATTGAGAACTTCAATCAACTTTTTTTGAAAGAGTTTGAGTCAATGTTAAAACAATTAATTTGAAACAACATTTTCTAGGCTTTCAATTTCTTAGAGTTTATTATTGAAGAGATGCTTACTTTTATTGACAATCTACCAGTAAGCTTATCAGTAATTACAGACAGAAAACAAGATTTTGTACACCACTAGCCTTAACCGAATTTAAAAACATTTGAAGAAATGTTTACGAGAACCGAAACGTCCAATGACTAGTTTTTCAATTGGAACATTGAACAAACATTTGATCCAGTAACTTGTGTCGAGTAAATTAGGCATTTAGCTTTCTCAAGGAAAAC